TTTGTGGAATTTCTTTCCTTCTTAATGCGTTGGAGCCAATCAGTTGTGTTGTGACAAGCTAGGGGTGATATACAGAAGATAGCCCTATTTGGTAAAAGACCATCTCTACAGAGGAATTCTGAAGCTCTGTCAGAGTGACCATCGGGTTTTTGGTCAACTTCCTGACCAAACTTCTTCCATTTAAGAATGATAGAGGTCACTGTGTTCTTGGGGACCTTCAATGCTGCAGACATTTTTTGGTACCCTTCCCAACATCTGTGCCTCGACACAATCCTGTCTCGGAACTAACTCTATGGACAATCCGTTCGACCTCATGGCTTGGTTTCTGCTCTGACATGCACTGTCAACTGTGGGACCTTATATAGACAGCAAGGGATAAGAAAGTTGCTAGCCAGTATGGCAATAGAACATTTATAATGAATGACCGGGTCACGTCCATAGATACAGAATAAAAAGACTGAACGACTGGGTCGTTTACCGAACCGATAGAACGAACGACCAGCCGGCTTGGGTAGCAACCCTAAATTTGTGTTGGGACTATATCTTGTGGAATGATGAAATAGTATGAATACATTAATCAAAATAAGGATTACTGTTATACTATTCCAGGTATTACTTAAAGAGGTAGGGTTTCAAGTGTCTCCGGAAGGTGGTCAGTGACTCCGCTGTCCTGGCATTGTGGGGGAGCTTGTTCCACCATTGGGGTGCCAGAGCAGCGAATAGCTTTGACTGGGCTGAGCGGGAACTGTGCTTCCGTAGAGGTAGGGGGGCTAGCAGGCCAGAGGTGGATGAACGTAGTGCCCTCGTTTGGGTGTAGGGTCTGATCAGAGCCTGAAGGTAAGGAGGTGCCGTTCCCCTCACAGCTCTGTAGGCAACCACCATGATTTTGTAGTAGATGCGAGCTTCAACTGGAAGCCAGTGGAGTGTGCGGAGGAGCGGGGTGACATGAGAGAACTTGGGAAGGTTGAACACCAGACGGGCTGCAGCGTTCTGGATAAGTTGTAGGGGTTTAATGGCACAGGCAGGGAGCCCAGCCAACAGCGAGTTGCAGTAATCCAGATGGGAGATGACAAGTGCCTGGATTAGGACCTGTGCCGCTTCCTGTGTAAGGTAGGGTCGTACTCTGCGAATGTTGTAGAGCATGAACCTGCAGGATCGGGTCACCGCTTTGATGTTAGCGGAGAACAACAGGGTGTTGTCCAGGGTCACGCCAAGGTTCTTTGCACTCTGGGAGGAGGACACAATGGAGTTGTCAACCGTGATGGCGAGATCATGGAGCGGGCAGTCCTTCCCCGGGAGGAAGAGCAGCTCCTTCTTGCCGAAGTTCAGCTTGATGTGGTGATCCCACATCCACACTGATATGTCTGTCCGACATGCAGAGATGCGATTTGCCACCTGGTTATCAGAAGGGGGAAAGGAGAAAATTAATTGTGTGTCGTCTGCGTAGCAATGATAGGAGAGACCATGTGAGGATATGACAGAGCCAAGTGACTTGGTGTATAGAGAGAATAGGAGAGGGCCTAGAACTGAACCCTGGGGGACACCAGTGGTGAGAGCACGTGGTGCGGAAACAGATTCTCACCACGCCACCTGGTAGGAGCAACCTGTCAGGTAGGACGCAATCCAAGAGTGAGCAGCGCCAGAGATGCCCAACTCGGAGAGGGTGGAGAGGAGGATCTGATGGTTCACAGTATCAAAGGCAGCAGATAGGTCTAGAAGGATAAGAGCAGAGGATAGAGAGTTAGCTTTAGCAGTGCGGAGAGCCTCCGTGACACAGAGAAGAGCACTCTCAGTTGAATGACCAGTCTTTAAACCTGACTGGTTTGGATCAAGAAGGTAATTCTGAGAGAGATAGCAGGACAGTTGGCTAGAGACGTCACACTCAAGAGTTTTGGAGAGAAAAGAAAGAAGGGATACTGGTCTGTAGTTGTTGACATCGGAGGGATCGAGTGTAGGTTTTTTGAGGAGGGGTGCAACTCTCGCTCTCTTGAAGACGGAAGGGACATAGCCAGCGGTCAAGGATGAGTTGATGAGCGAGGTGAGGTAAGGGAGAAGGTCTCCGGAAATGGTCTGGAGAAGAGAGGAGGGGATAGGGTCAAGCGGGCAGGTTGCTGGGCGGCCGGCCATCACAAGTTGCAAGATTTCATTTGGAGAGAGGGCGGAAAAAGAAGTCAAAGCATAGGGTAGGGCGTCACAAGTCGCAAGATTTCATCTGGAGAGAGAGCGGAGAAAGAAGTCAAAGCATAGGGTAGGGCAGTGTGAGCAGGACCAGCGGTGTCATTTGACTTAATAAATGAGGATCGGATGTCGTCAACCTTCTTTTCAAAATGGTTGACGAAGTCATCCACAGAGAGGGAGACGGGAGGGGGAGGAGGAGGAGGATTCAGCAGGGAGGAGAAGGTGGCAAGGAGCTTCCTAGGATTAGAGGCAGAGGCTTGAAATTTAGAGTGGTAGAAAGTGGCTTTAGCAGCAGAAACAGAGGAAGAAAATGTAGAGAGGAGGGAGTGAAAAGATGACAGGTCCACAGGGAGTCTAGTTTTCCTCCATTTCCTCTCGGCTGCCCGGAGCCCTGCTCTGTGAGCTCACAATGAGTGGTCAAGCCACGGCGCAGGAGGGGAGGACCGAGCCGGCTAGGAGGATAGGGGACATAGAGAGTCAAAAGATGCAGAAAGGGAGGAGCGGAGGGTTGAGGAAGCAGAATCAGGAGATCGGAGGGAGAAGGATTTAGCAGAGGGAAGAGATGATAGGATGGAAGAGGAGAGAGTAGCGGGAGAGAGAGAGCGAAGGTTGCGACGGCACATTACCATCTGAGTAGGGGCAGAGTGAGTAGTGTTGGAGGAGTGTGAGAGAGAAAAGGATACAAAGTAGTGGTCGGAGACTTGGAGGGGAGTTGCAGTGAGATTAGTAGAAGAACAGCATCTAGTAAAGATGAGGTCAAGCGTATTGCCTGCCTTGTGAGTAGGGGGGGACGGTGAGAGGGTGAGGTCAAAAGAGGAAAAGAGTGGAAATAAGGAGGCAGAGAGAAATTAGTCAAAGGCAGACGTAGGGAGGTTAAAGTCACCCAGAACTGTGAGGGGTGAGCCATCCTCAGGAAAGGAACTTATCAAGGCGTCAAGCTCATTGATGAACTCTCCAAGGGAACCTGGAGGGCGATAAATGATAAGGATGTTAAGCTTGAATGGGCTAGTGACTGTGACAGCATGGAATACAAATGAGGAGATAGACAGATGGGTCAGGGGGAAAAGAGAGAATGTCCACTTGGGAGAGAACACATTATCAGACGAGGAAAGAGCAGTAGGAGTAGCAGTGTTTTCTGTGGTAATCCATGTTTCCGTCAGCGCCAAGAAGTCGAGGGACTGGAGGGTAGCATAGGCTGAGATGAACTCTGCCTTGTTGGCCGCAGAACGGCAGTTCCAGAGGCTGCTGGAGACCTGGAACTCCACGTGGGTCGTGCGCGCAGGGACCACCAGATTAGAGTGGCAGCAGCCACGCGGTGTGAAGCGTTTGTATGGCCTGTGCAGAGAGGAGAGAACAGGGATAGACAGACACATAGTTGACAGGTTACAGAAAAGACTACAATAATGCAAAAGAGATCGGAATAAAATTAACTAAACATCTGGGGAAGCGAGAGAGTGGGGCCCCCCTCACTTACCTTTCACTGAAACACTCAAATATAACTCTCCCAACTTCCACTTTAGAAATTATAATTGTTGTAAACTACAGCGGTTCAATGTTTTCTAGGAATAGAATCTAACAGTATTCTTCCGTGAAAACCGCCCAGGGCACAGTATCCTATGACGCCATAGCTAACTAGCATGCTAGCATCAAATAATACACGGTTTAGCACCAATACTTTGTTACAACAAACTACCAATAGTGTGTTAACACACTAAACAGATCATTCGTGTCCGTGTCTTGTTCCTTTCATAACACAGAAATAATTAAACCTTGGCTAGCTACCACAAAGTCAGTCATGCTAGCTACACAAGTGGACTACACATCTCAAATGTTCAAAAAGTGAAGCTTTACGTTGCAAAATTCTCATTGACTAAAATGATATTGTATTTAGTTGCTACAGTACTGCTAGCTGGTAGTGTTGGCTAGCTAGCAATGGCTGCGGTGTTGACTTTGTTTGAAAAAATGGCGTCGCTGTGAACGAATGTAGCTGGCTAAAATGATATTGTATTTAGTTGCTACAGTACTGCTAGCTGGTGGTGTTGGCTAGCTAGCAATGGCTGCGGTGTTGACTTTGTTTGAAAAACGGTGTCGCTGTGAATGAATGTAGCTGGCTAGCTAACCTCAATAGTTTCTCTATACTACACCTTTATCTTTGATACAAAGACAACTATGTAGCTAGCTAACATTACACTAATCAAATAATTCCATTGTAATGTAATGTGTGTCATATTACCTGCAGAGCGAAGTACAGCGGGAAAAAGTCTGTACACACAGACACACACAAACTTAAACACAGATTGATTTGACAGAAGAGATTACATCCAAAGCTCCTATCTAACGCGGCATTGTCGCCTCCGGGATGGGATTTCAAGAGATTCCCATATTATTAACTGGATCACAACAAACACATCTGCACACTTCTGGAAATGCTTCCTGTGTTTAAGGCGTTGATTCGAAGTGGAGAAGATAGGGCTTCTGGGGGCAAGAGATGTTCTGAGGAGAAGAGAGAAGGGGAAAACATGTGAAGAAGGGAGAGGATAGGGTAATATGTGGGATAGCGGCATGCAGATGCGATTCCTACAGGTGATAATCCTCCTATAGTTTGACAGGAGAGATGACAACCAAAGCTCCTGTCTTATCACTTCACATTGGGAAAGGTGGGATTACTGCCTCCAGAGCGTCAGAGGGAACAGGGATGGTGCATGATGGGATACAGAGAGATTCAGAGAGCCTTGTTGCCCACGATCATTAATAACTGGGATCTGACATGGTGGAGTTTAGAGTCTGGAAATGCAGATGAGGAGAAGCCTTCTGCATCAAAGATGTCAGAGGGTAGGTGTGAGGAGAGAAGGGTTTGGAAGAAAGGTAGTTAAAGCAAGGGGAAGGAAGAGAGAAGAGAGAGAAGCAGAGACAGACAGAGAGAGAGAGAGAGAGAGAGAGAGAGAGAGAGAGAGAGAGAGAGAGAGAGAGGTCATGCTCAACATGAGCTCCTGATTTATTTCAGTTTTTTTGTTTTTAGAATGAGATAAACACTCGAATCTAAAAAGAATTCAAGGCAAGAAGTGATGAACAAAAACTCTATTAAATCAGAATAGAAAAAAATGTAACTTTGCGCCTCAAATTATGAAGTTTTGACTCTCACTAGCTAGCTACACCACAAAAACCTAGCCAGCAGGCTAACAAGCCAGCCAGAAAATTGAGCTAGGACAAACCTATCAAGGGGAGTTAATACAACTACATCAAACAACCAAACTGAGCGAGTATATCAAAAAGAAGCACGGACTCTAACTTTAAACATATCTTCTGTTTTTGTGTGTGAAGATTTTTCACTCTTTTTGTTGGTTTTTGAGCTAAACAGGAGCTAGCTAGCAACAGCAGCAGACAAACAAAACTGGTTGCCATAGCAATGGTGCAGCAGAACAGAGCAGCAGCAGCAGTAGTAGCAGAGCCCACAGGCACCATGTCCCCACTCCCCGTCAGCGCCGAGTCCATTCTCTACCCTCCAGAGGCCAAAAATGACACAACAAGGAAAGCTTTTAAACAGAATCTACTAAAGGGGAGGCCAGAAACCCTTTTCACAGACCTCTACAAAAACGGTGATGTGAGTAATCTCGTCTTTCTCACTGACCAGCATGGTGCTCAGCAGTCTGCTCTCACTACCCATCCATAAAGAAAGAGGGAATCTGTAATGGGTGGAAGCTGAAAGTCAAAGAGACAGATGACCCTGACAGCACCATGATAACAATCAACCTCTACAAGACTGGGACTGTCATGGTGCAAGGTAACCTTAGGCTGTTTGAAACAGACTTTCAGACCATTAAGGAGAGAGCAGAGAGAGAGAAGGATACCACCAGTGACATGCCCTCCCACAAGACAAACTCCACCAGCACCACCCTCATCCCCACTATCCCCACCCAAAAAGGCACATCCAGCACCTCTCTTCCCACCATAGTGGAGGACACGCCCCAGGAGGAGAGCGACCCCCTCAGTGCAAAGCAGGCTCAGGCCCTCCTCACCACCATGGCTGCCATGAGGGATCAGTTCACCAAGCTGGAGGGGGAGGTGGTCCTGCTCAGGGAGAGTGTGAGCAAACAGCAACCAGACATCCACACCTTAGAGGACCTCCTAACCAAGGTGCGGACAGAGCAGGACAGCAGCCTTGCAACACAGCTGAAAGAAGTTCAGCAAGAGAGAGACGGACTCAAGAGAGAGCTGGCTGATCTAGCAAAGGAGGTGAGAGAGCTCCAAAAAGACAGGCAGAGCAGTAATAACGAGCTGACCACACTAAGAGAGGAGCTGCAGGAGAGAAAGAGAATAGAGAACAGGCTGCAGGAGCAGCTAGATCACCACTCTATGACCTGCCCTCACACAGCAGAGGAGCCCACCTCAACCAGCCAGGCCTCCCCAGCCCTGCCGGCTGCATGCCTCCCCACCAGCCCCCAGAACAGCCTCCCACTGACAGCGACACCGGCACAGACCAGCCACACCCCAGCTCCAACACCCACCAGCCCCAACTCTACCCCCTCCAGTCCAGAAGAAACACTGGCTGAGATTGTCCTGTTGATGGACTCAAATGGGAAGTTTGTTCAGGAGAATAAACTTTTCCCTAGACACAAAACGAGAAAGGTATGGTGCCCAACAACGCAGAGTGCCATGGCGCTGCTTGATAAGGCCCAGCTCAGGTCGCCAAGCCACATAATCATACACACCGGAAGCAACGACCTGCATGCTCAGCAGGAGAGGGTGGCGACTTCACTACGGGGAGTGATTGAGAAGGCCTCCGCAATCTTCCCCAACTCATGGATCGTGGTGTCAACCCTTCTACAGAGGAAGGACTTCCACCCTGCCACAATCCAAAGAATAAACGCCAGCCTCTCCCGGGACTGTGACCTGCGACCCAATGTACACCTGGCCCACCATCCCACCCTCGATCTGGACTGTCTCTATGACCATGTTCACCTGTACAGGGAGACAGTCCCCATCCTTGCTAAGACTCTCAAAGACGTCGCTTTAAACCGCATCCCGACCTCTCCACCCAGGAACAGCGGAGCAATCTCCACCCCCCCGAGATCACCGAGACAACACCCCGGACCAGCACCCTGGACCCCCCAGCCACGGCCACAGCACCACCAACCTCAATGCCCACCACATCCAGCGCAGCACAGACCACCCCAGCCCAGCTTCAGACCCACCCAGATGAAGCAACTGGCCCAGCTCCCACCAACGAAATGAATGACATCAAACAAATGCTGAATCTACTATGCTTACATGTGATAGGCCGAGGGTCATGCTAAGATGAGCACAAGAACTCCACCATCCTCACACTACATCCACCCAAGTGGCATGACACAAATACTATCTTAAATGATAAACAAATCACATTTTCATAATAAGAGTTTACCTTAATTGAAAAATCCTATTTTAATAGTTCTTGTTGGATTGTGAGTGTTTATCTCATTTTGAGGGTAAAGAAAAAACAGTTATGAAATCTTTTTACCAGGCTTGAAGTCCTCTGCTTTTGGGCTAAAGAGCAGAAACCCAGACCTCCTTAAAGAAATTGATGATGTTGATATTGTAGTACTACAGGAAACATGGGGCAGAGGTGATGTTTCCACTGGCTGTCCACTAGGTTATAGGGAGATAATCGTACCATCCACCAAATTAAAAGGAATCACACAGGGCAGAGACTCAGGGGGAATTCTAATATGGTATAAATCTGAACTAACTAATTCAATCGAATTGATCAAAACAGGATAATTCTTTATCTGGCTAAAAATCAACAAGGAGGCTATCTTAACAGATAACAACGTCTTCCTCTGTGCCACATACATTCCCCCCTCAGTGTCACCCTACTTCAATGAAGAGAGTTTCTCCATTCTAGAGGGGGAGATTAGTCACTTTCAGGCCCAAGGCAATGTGCTGGTCTGTGGAGACCTGAATGCTAGAACAGCAGAAGAACTTGACACTATTAACAGTCATGGGGATAAACACCTACCGGGAAGCAACAACCGTTCCCTCCCCACATATCCCACCAGAAACAACTATGACAAAGTGAAAAACAAAAATGGAGTACAGCTCCTGAAGTTCTGTCGAACACTGGGTCTGTACATAGTCAATGATAGGCTAAGAGTGGACTCTTTTGGTAGGTACACCTACAGCTCATCCCTTGGCAGCAGTACTGTAGACTACTTCATCACAGACCTCAACCCAGAGTCTCTCAGAGCCTTCGCAGTCAGCCCACTAACACCTCTCTCAGACCACAGTAAAATCACAGTGTATCTGAGAAGAGCAGAACCCAACCATGAAGCATCACGGCCCAATAAATTGCATGGTACTAAACAGACCTATAGATGGAGTGCAAACAGTACAGAAATCTACCAAAAAGCAATTAGTAGCCAAAAAATACAATCTCTCCTGGACAACTTTTTAGCATTAACATTCTCCTACACCAATGAAGGTGTAAATTTGGCAGTTTGGAACATAAACTTTATATTTGACAAATTAGCCTCCTTGGCTAATCTTAAGAAACATAAGAGCAAACCAAAAAGAAAAGATAATGAAAAATGGTTTGATAATGATTGCAAAAATCTAAGGTCATTGAGAAATATATCTAATCATAAACACAGAGACCCAGACAACAAAAATATACGTCTTCAATATGGGGAAACACTGAAGCAATACAAACACACCCTAAGACAAAAAAAGAACAGCACATTAGAAATCAGCTGGATGTGATTGAGGAATCCATAGAATCAAACCACTTCTGGGAGAATTTGAATAAATTAAACAAACCTCATAATGTGGAATTGGCTATCCAAAATGGGGATATGTGGAGAAATCACTTTGCAAACCTCTACAGCAATATAACAAAGAGCCCAGAACAACAAGATATACAAGAAAAATTACAAATCCTTGAATCAGCAGTCAAAGACTATCAGAATCCTGTGGATACCCCAATTACAGAACAAGAATTATTGGAAAAACTTTGCACTCTCCAACCCAAAAAGGCTTGTGGTGCTGATGGTATTTTAAATGAAATGATCAAATATACAGACCAGAAATTCAAATTGGCTATACTCAAACTCTTCAACATTATCCTAACTGCAGGTATTTTCCCCGATATTTGGAACCAAGGATTGATCACACCAATTTATAAAAATGGAGACAAATTTGACCCAAATAATTACAGAGGAATTTGCGTTAACAGCAACTTGGGGAAAATTCTCTGCAGTATCATAAACAGCAGACTACATCATTTCCTTGATGAACACAACGTCCTAAGCAGAAGCCAGATTGGATTTGTAAAAAATTATCGTACAACAGACCACATTTACACCCTCCAGACTCTAATTGACAAACAAGTAAATCAAAACAAAGGCAAAATCTACTTGTGTTTTGTAGACTTCAAGAAAGCATTTGATTCAATTTGGCACAAAGGTCTTTTTTACAAACTAATAGAAAGTGGTATTGGAGGGAAAACATATGATGTTATTAAATCAATGTAGACTAAAAACAAATGTGCGATTAAAATCGGCAAAAAGCAAACAGACTTCTTCTCTCAGGGACGTGGAGTGAAACAGGGCTGCCCAATAAGTCCAACACTATTTAACATCTACATTAATGAATTGGCAAAAACATTAGAAGAATCGGCAGCACCTGGTCTCACCCTACACAACACTGAAATCAAGTGTCTGCTGTACGCAGATGACCTGGTGCTACTGTCTATGTCACGATAAGTTACAGGAAGAGACGGACCAAGGCGCAGCGTGATAAGCGTACATTTTATTTCGTACACAACACACGAACAAAACAACAAAACGATACGTGAAGTCCTGAGGTTACACAACACAAACCTTTACGGAACAAGATCCCACAAACTAACTGGTGCCAACAGGCTGCCTAAGTATGGGCCCCAATCAGAGACAACGAGCTACAGCTGCCTCTGATTGGGAACCACCCTGGCCAACATAGAACTAAACGATCTAGAACAAAAAACTGAAAATCCACACCCTGGCTCAACATTTAAGAGTCCCCAGAGCCAGGGCGTGACAGTCTCCCACTAAGGAGGGGTTACAGCAGCATCTAGATCATCTGCACAGATTCAGACCTGGGCCCTGACCGTTAATCAAAAAAATATATATACAATGATATTCCAAAAAAGGTCGGAAATCAGGATGACAAATATAAATTCTATTTGGACACAGTTCTATTAGAACACACCAAAAATTACACATATCTAGGACTAAATATCAGCAACACAGGTAGCTTTCACATGGCTGTGAATGAGCTGAGAGACAAAGCAAGAAGAGCATTCTATGCCATGAAAAGGAATATTAAAATCGAAATTCCAATTAGAATCTGGCTCAAAATGTTCCAATCAGTTATAGAACCAATTGCTCTATATGGCAGCGAAGTATGGGGTCCGCTCTCTAATACTGAATTTACCAAATGGGACAAACATCCAATCGAAATACTGCATGCAGAGTTTTTGCAAGACTGTATTGCAAGTGCAAAGAAAAACTCCAAAGGACGCATGTAGAGCAGAATTGGGCCAATACCCCCTCCTTATTCGAATAGAAAAAAGAGCCATCAAATTTTACAACCATCTAAAAACAAGTGACCCCAAAACATTCCATCACACAGCTCTACTATGTCAAGAGATGAAACAAGAGAAGAGTCCCCTCAGCCAGCTGGTTCTGAGGTTCAGTTCACTAACCAAAACCAACCTTATAGAGCCTCAGGACAGCACTCAGAAAATCTGGCCCAACCAAATCATCACAAAACAAAAACAAAAATATATCACCTATTGGAAAGACACTACAAAAAATAAAAGTAAACTTCAGTGCTATTTGGCTCTAAACAGACAGTACATGGTGGCAGACTATCTGACCACTGTGACTGATAGAAAACTGAGGAAAACAATGACTAGGTACAGACTCAGTGAGCACAATCTGGCTATAGAGACCGGTCGTCACAGGCAAACCTGGCTGCCCAGAGAGGACAGGCTGTGCTCACTCTGCCTCCGGGGAGAGGTAGAGACAGAGCTGCATTTCCTACTACACTGTGAAAAATACTCAGACCTAAAATAATCTTTCTTTCCCCAAATTATCATTCAGTACAAAGAATTTGAAACTATAAAAGAGGAAGAAAAAAATCCTATATTTATTGGGTGAAAAGCCAAAATGTGCAATTTTGGCAGCCAAATATGTGTCCTCCTGCCACAACCTGAGGGACAGCCAGTGAAAAGTGTAATGTAATGTCAATAATATTTCCTGTTTTGTTTTGGCTTTCATACCATGTAATGTGTCTTCTCAGTCATGTTGAGATTGGTCAACTACTATTGCTTTAATGTATTGTTATTCTCATTAATATTGTTGTTGTAGTTGCTGTTAATGGTAATCCCATTTCCACTACTACTACTATTATTATTATTGCTGTTGGTCCCACCATTTTTGTTATATCTATACTTTGACAATGTAAGTAATTTTACTTGCCATGTCAATAAAGTCTATTAAATTGAACTGAATTGAGAGAGCGAGAGAGCGAGAGAGCGAGAGAGAGAGAGAGAGAGAGAGAGAGAGAGAGAGAGAGAGAGAGAGAGAGAGAGAGAGAGAGAGAGAGAGAGAGAGAGAGAGAGAGAGAGAGAGAGAGAGAGAGAGAGAGAGAGAGAGAGAGAGAGAGAGTATAAACTCAGCAACAACATTGACATTCTCTGTGGATGCAGTAAGTATTAGTTCTGCAAGTACTGACAAGGCACTGGTCTATCTCCCCAAATGTGCACAGGCAGATGTACACCACATCAGTCCTTCTTTCATCCTCATATATTATTTTTTAAACCCTTTATCTAGCATTGTATTTTATGTCATTTCTCTGTGCAATAATCCCTAAACCCATTTAAAGTAATAGTTATCTGTGATCCGCTCTAGTGCACTGATATGCTTATCCAGCAATGTGGTCACATTGTAAATCAGGAAGCTTTGTTATCTCCTAATAGGAAGTAGATCTAATAGGGATAGGTAATAATAGTTTCCTCAATCTCAATAGGAAGCAACCTAGTTCTGGTGGTTGTTTTACTGGGAGTCAGAGGGAATAGTTCTGAGCCAACAGAACAGAAGCTTTGGCTCCCATTGTCTCTCTGACTGTGTCTACAGTTACAGTTTAGCAATCACTCTTATCCAGAGCAACTTACAGGAGCAGTTAGGGTTAAGTGCCTTGCTCAAGGGCACATCTGC